CAAGAGACGGGGTGCATCTTCTTCGTTATCGTCCTGCGGCGACGCCAATGAAAAAAGAAGAATTAATTATTAAAAAAATATGAAGTAAGCGTCAAGCAATTAAAAAATTAATTGCTGCAAGGCTAGAAGATCGTCAGCAAGAAGAAACACAAAAAAAGTGAGAAGTACAAAAGAAAGAATGAAGTAACTAATGAAAGGTGAGATAAAAGAAAAACAAACAACCACATGAATTAGAAGCAAAAGAGTTCAAGAATTAATTAACTGCAAGATAATAAACATGAAATGAAATAAACGGCGACACTGTCATCATGCTCCTGGGGTGTACAGACACCTCAAAGTTTCCGCGCCGTGTCCTCTATCTTTTTTCAGTTCACTTCTTTTTCTTTCTATTTTCAAATAAATGAATAAATAATTTATTGATTTATTACACACTTGAATAATTACTTAATTAATAGTGTATTCGTATTTCTAGTGTTTCCCTCTCTGCAAGGAGAATCTCGCCACCCCTAAGAAAAAACGTGGCTTCATTTTTTTTTCTCTTTTAGGTTTTGCTTCCAATATTTTTATTGATTTACCTGTTCTGCATCAATAAAACTCAACTCCGGTTCATACTTCGCTGTTCCGCGTACCCTCCCCTCCATTTCTTCTCCGCCGTGCCCGCCCTTTCTTGGATTCCCGCCGCCGCCTTCATCGCTCCAAGCGGCCGCAGGGGCATTCCCAACAATTGCATATGAAACGTTTGCAAATGTCTCGAAGCCTAAACAAAATAAAACAAAACCATGGAAATACTAAAAGAATGGAAATGATAGAATGCAAATGAATGTCACGTCAATGCAGCTAATACACAACAAACATGCATTTGAAACGTTTGCAGAGGTCTTAAACCAGCAATAAAGCAATAACGCCAATAAGCAACAACAAGCAACCCTGCTAAGCAGTAACAAACAACCATAATAAACAACAACAAACGACCCTAACAAGCAACAACAAGCAACGAAAGCAAACATTGCTAACTACCCCTTATCTATCGCCTGATCGTTAGTTGAACTATTATGTATTTGCTGTGTGTGTTTATCTGACCCGTATTTCTGAAGAAGGCCTTCAATCTCCCTGTCCTGGCTAAGTAGTT